TTAGAGATGACTACTTTAAATCCATCAGAATCTTCTTGTTTAGTGTTTGTCAACATTGTAACCATTGGCATATTATTATATAGAGATGCCATTGGGTCATGAAGACCATTTTCTTGCCATATTTCTTGTGTATTTAATGCAGCTTTCTTTTGTATTGTTTCTTCTGAAAGTATGAATTGAGTGCTTTTTGTACTATTATTCATTTCAGTTTCTGTTCTTGGTTGTTCCATTTCCTCATTATTTGGGGAGCTACCATTAGCTTCAATTTTTGTATTTGGTTGCTCTGTTTTCTCATCATCAAGGTTTATTCCTAGACTAAGTTCTTTAGTATAAGGATTTTCTGTGCTGAATTCTGTTATGGTTTCTTCTTGATAATTCATACATTTTTTCTCTTGTAATCTTTGTTCCCTTCTTGCCTTTTGCAAGTTTCTAAGTTCAACAGATGCTTGGTATTTAGGACATTCTTTTTTGATATGTCCTGTTTTGTCACAACAGTAACAAAGTTTCAGAGCTTCTCTCCAATCTGTTGTTACTTGTGATCCCAAACATGTGTATACCTAGGAATTCTTTTTGCTAGTTCAGGATCATCTGTTGTTTCGAAAATTACTACCTATTGGTCTGATAATATTGAAGTTCCTTTATATACCAGTGGTTTGATAAATGCAATTGAACCCACATCTTGGAATGTCATTTTAATTTGATCTGAAACAAAATCTTTCTTGCCCATAGGAGCATTTCGAAGCCTAACTGAAAGGAAGCTATGTCTAATATTGATTGGGATGTACCCCTGGAGGTTTTGTTTGAAGATAGCAAGACCTTCTACAGAATATAGCTGTTGCTTTTCCTCATTTACAAAAACTACCTCCAAATGTGTTCTTTTTCCCTTGGAAATAATTGGTTTAACCGCAACTATGTCATCCCCGAACTTTTGTGCCATTGCTTCTACGATGTCAGTTGTTGGAATATTTTCCAGATTATGTACCTCAAAAATCAACGCATTCTCATTCTTTGTATTAATCCTTTTTCTTGGTGAGTAGGTGGAGTATGTTGCCCTTCCCCTTTCTAATTTGGAGAACAATTCTGACCATTGTCTTGGTCTCGGTTGGGAACCTGCTTCCTTAGTCACCTGACTTGTACCTTGTGTTCTGTTGTTATCATATTCCATGTGACTATTTTGTAATACATGTTCTGTTTGTTTTGGTTGTTCTGGCAGTTCCTGACGTGTTTCTTCACAAACTGTCATGTCTTTTACTTTTTCTTTGGTTTTTTCTTGGTCTTGACTTTTGGTCAGAGGTTCCTTACTGACATAGTTTTCATTAAAACCTACTGTTTTGTTTGCATTTGCTGAGGTACCTAGGACAGATTTTTCCAAACTTCTAGCCTTATTTGGCAGCTCTGCTTCTTGGTTTTGGTTTCCTTCTTCGAAGAAGGAAACTCTGATTTTTTTGTTTTTTTCTGTTCTGCCTGTTAAAGAGCCAGACATAACTATACAGACTTGTTTTCTTTTCTTCGGCACAAGAGTTTTAGCTCTTGTGGTATAGTTTTTTCTAAAGTTTAATCGCTTGTTTATTGTTGTATATGTTATTTTGCCCTCCACCAAAAATCAGAGTAGAGATAGAGAGAGAGTTTTGAACAGATATTTTTATAAATAATTGCATTAAAAAATAGAAAACTAGCAAAAATAACAATAGGTAAAGAAAAAGAAAAAAGAAAAGAAAAAAGAAATTAGTTTATAACAAGACTAAAAGAAATACCAAAAAAAATATTTGAACTAATCCTTTTAAAAAAACTTAAGGTTAGAAAGGCAATAGTAGTATATATACTATTGAATAGATAGGAAAGACAAAGAGATTATGCAGTAGTATTATTTAAAAGCCAAACAGACATGAATGTGACTACTAAGAAAAAGTTTGGTACAACAGAACTTTAATGTTCTAGGAATGCAAAACTCAAAGAAATGATAAAAGAATACAAGAAGGCAGCAACAAAGAGCAAAAGACATAAAAAATGATAGGAAGATACAGAAAGATACAAGCTTGGAAAAAGAACAGAAAAATCAAAAGCTCTGATAAATAGATACAAAAAGAAAATAGAATTAAAAGAAAACAGAACCAATTAAAGAAATAAGGATGACAGAAATAAAGTACAAAATAAAAAAAATATAGCAACCAAAAACCAGAATCAAGAAAAGACAAAGAAGAAGAAGATAGTTCAAAAGAGACCACAAGAAAGAATCTCACATGTTGAAGATATGTTAGGCCTAATATTAGAAAGACTAGAAAGACTAGAGAAGAACAGATAAAAAAATAAGATAGAACAATCCAACTGCTTTTAAGGGTGCTACAGTTAAATCAATGAATATAGACATGAAGATCAAAAAGTTCTTGCAAAATAAAAAAAAAGTTTTTTTAAAAAAAAAGAAGTAAAAACTCCTTGTTAAGAAGAAAGCATATATGGTAAAGAAAGAAAAAAATTTAAAAGTATAGAAATAAAATAGAAATTACTAAAAGAAAAGTGAAAAGAAAATAAAAAAGAAATAAACCTAGCATGTTATAATGTTAATAGACTCAAAACCAAAGGTTGAAAATTGAAAAATCTACTCAGCTAAGCAGAAGAAGAGGAAATTGTAATAATGAAAATTACAGAGACAAACCTTACAGAAAGAAAAAAAAGTTCTTAACATATGCAGCAGGCAAAAGATACAGATTTTTGAACAAATGCAACTAAAAATAAGAAGATTTGGGCATTAGAATTATAATCAATAAACAATGAAAAAAACACATAAGTGCAGTTAGAAAAATAAGTGAATATATGATAGAGATTACACTATATTTTAAACAATTGGAGTTAGTTGTGATTACAGCATATATATTACTAAACAATAAGGTAGTAGAAAGAAACATTTAACAAAAAATTGTAAAAACAATCTTAAAAAGAAAAAGACAAACACAAATTATCATAATAGGTAATTTTAATTACACAGTAAACAATATTCTAAATAGACAACATCTACAAACAAAAGGCTGCCAATCTTTAATTAGATGAAAAAAACAAGACTTCAAAAACACTTATAGAGATATGAATTCAACAGGTCAACAATACACATAGTCAAATGAAGAAGCAGCAACAAGAATTGACTATATATATATGAATATTAGATAGGTTAGTCTTAGGTCTACAAAAGGCAGAAATCGAAGAAGTAGAAGTAATTACAGAGAGTAACCACAAGATAGTAATAGCAGAAATATGAATCAAGCATATAATAGTAGTAAAAAGCAAGACAGTAATTAAAAGAAAGAGGCAGTCAAGAACAGTATACTTATATGATCAAGCAAAATTAGAAGATTGGAAAAATTATACATAAGAGTTACAGAATCAGTTAGAAATAAAAGAGGTTCTAAAAGACATTTATAAGAAAAAACAAAACAAGAAGAGAAAAGCAGAGAAAATAAACAATATATGAGATATAATAGAAAAAGCTATTATTACAGCAGCATATAAATACATATCTAAGAAAAAAGTATATAACATGATAATTAACTAAAGAAGAAGTCAAAGAGAATAGCAACAAAAAAAAGTATTGTCAAGTTACAGAAATTAATCAAGTATGCAAAAGTTAAAAAAAACACAAGTAGTAACAAAAAAGAAAAGAAGTAAAATGAATGAACAATTAAAGATACTAGGCAAAAAATTAACACAAAACTGCCAAAACTACAAAGACAATAGTTAAGTATATAAATAAAAGATATGAAGAATTAAAAAAAGCTATTATTGAAAAGAAAAAAGAAAGACTAAAAACAAATACAAAAAAAAACAAATAGAAGAGAATATAGATAAAAGATGTGAAATGTTCAGAACAGATCAGGAAAAGATAATAGTGAGTTTTTTGAATAAATTCTATAAGAAAATAGTACTTGACAGGTTTATCAAACAAACAAAAGAAGAAATAATCTGCTAACAAGCTTAGAAGATATCAGAATAGAAGTAAACAGAACACTACAAAAAACAATTCAGAAAAAGAAATACAAGATTAGAAAAGATGCCAAAAAAAGAGTGAAAGAAATATATAAACTACAAGAAAACATTAAAGAGAAATAGTACACAGAAGTTGGAAGAAAAAATGAGAAAAAAGAATGAGAAGAAATATTAAGAAAACTGAAAACAGAAATAGCTTTAGGCATATTAAGTATAAGTTACATCCAGATAAAGTGAATAGAAAAGAAAATACAAAAAGTATTTAGAGGCTTTGCAGACTTATATCTAAAAGTAGAAAAGATATCAACTAAATGAAAGATAGTACAAGTTTATTCAATACCTAAAGATGTTAAGTAAAGATATAGTTTAAACAACATTCAACTAATAGCATTAATAGAAACATTTAGAAAAGTTGTAACAAAAGTGATAACAAAAAGGCTTACCAAAGTGTTTATAGAAAAAGAAATACTCAAAGAATCAAACTATGCAGGCCTTCCAGGCTACTCAACAAAACAACTAGTATATATCCTTAATATGATAATAAAAGAAGCAAAAAAAAAGAGTAAAGAAGTATAGATACTTTTACAAGACATGAAAAAAGTATTTGACTTATTTCTACTTAAGTCTAGAACTAGCACTGTGAAAAATTAAAGTATCTGAAAGAACAATAAAATACATCCTAAATCTGTTTTATAAAAGACAACTAAAAATTATTACAGCTCACAGCCTAACAGAAGAGATAATAGTAGAAAATAGCATAGATCAAGAAGAAATAATGTCTTCATTAATATGGTAACTTTTCTATGATCCATTGTTAGAAAGAATACAAGAAGATAAAAATTTAGAATATATAGTAGAACAATAGATCAAAAGAAGAATACAATGCAGCAACATCACAAAGTATCACTAAGCAGCCATTGCATATGCAGATAATACAATATGGATTGCAAATAATAAAAAACAGCTAATAGAGATATTAAAAATAACAAAAAAAATTTTTAAAATAAATGACAAAGATAAATAAATCCAAATTAAAGCTGTTAATAATGAATACAAAAGTAAAAAAAGAAGAAAAAGAAGTAATTTTTAAAGGAAACAAGATAACAAAAGAAGCAAAGAACAAGATAGTTCGCTCATTAAAAATATAATTAAATAACAAAATGAGTAAAGTGCTAATAAAAAAGAAAGCTAAAGAAATAATCAGCCAAACAATAAGAGATCTTAGATATAAAAAGATGACAATGAGTCAAATTGTATATATAAACAATATAATAATAATACCAAAATTAAGTTATATGTTACAGCTAACAAAAATATCAAAAAGAAGTATAAGTGAAATATATTAACCAATAATAAGTCTAGCAAAGCAAAAGAGCAACCTACAAAAAACATTAGAAAACTGTATAATAGAATACAAAAATTTTGAAAGCTGCAGAACATTATGACAAGAATTAATAACAAAACAAATAGTAGCCTATTAGCAAGACTAAACAGACAAGATAGTTTTAGACAGTTAACAAAACTAAAAATAACACAAAGGTACTAAAGAGCAGGTTTAACAAAAGATATATAGAAAATAGAAGAGATAACAAAAAATATAGAAGATTGAAAAAGTAACTTAGCTTGTCTAACATTACTAAAAGCAAGAAAGCTTAATATAAATATAAGAACAAAAAACAATTTATGGACAATGTTTGAATATGAAATCAAAATAAAAGAACTTATAGATATACAGTTATAGAAAAGAAGTAGTACTAGAATAAATGAAGCAGGCTTAATATTTCTAAGCCAGCTGGTAGATACAAAAGAAAAGAGATTAATTACATAGCAGCAGCTAAAAAGTTATTAAAATCTATTAAGTAAGAGAAAAAACAGAATAGTTTAAAGTAATAGAACTAGAAGTGCTCATTAGTCAGAAAATAGAAAAGTTAAAAAACAATTTAAAACAATTAGGCAAAATATTTAAGCAATGCAAATAAGATATAAGTATATTTTGAAAGACAAAAAAAGAAAAAAAATAAGTAGCATATATTGCACAGAACAATCAGCAGTTAGAAAAGATAGTCAAGAAGAAAAGAAAAAAAATACTAGTAAAATATTAGTAAATACAAAGTAAAGAAAGTAAATTAGTTATCAAAATTAACAGATGTAAGGGTTGTATAAAGAAAAAAAAATACCAAGAAAATAGTTGCCAGTAGTGAATAAGAATAAATAGCAAAATCAATATAATTTCAGATGTATTGATAAAAAAAGATAGCAACAAGATCA